TGTGTGTGTGTGTGTGTGTGTGTGTGTGTGTGTGTGTGTGTGTGTGTGTGTGTTTGTGTTTGGGTGGGGTTTCAAATTGACTTTTACCACTCATGGTGATTGTCAACGAAGGCAGACATGGGACTGATCTGAACGGTGTAGGTGTCATTGGCAGAGTACTCAAACAGACCATAATAAGGGTTAAACAGTTCTCTGGAAACCAAGAAGAAAAATTCTCTCGAGGGCCCGCTGTAGTCCAACCTGAAACACACACATTTAGACTTTAGATTTCCTTTCTTTCTTTTCTTCCCTTCCTTGCCCCTCCCAGACACTCACCCCTCCTCCCCGACAAAGCTAACATAGAGCTTGCTCCGCTGTAGGTCTTTCCGAGAGTAACACATGATTTGGTTGAAGGCATCTTCCAGGAGTTGGTCGCGACGGATGATCAGTCTAAGACAGACGGACAAGAGTGAAGACAGACAACTCCCAGCAGACAAAGACTACTGTATTTATCGGAACATAAGGCGCATTAAGCGAAACAAAACAGGCAGATAAGTCAAACTTTACTCAGTTCATTTTTTTTGCTTGCTTCATTTTTGTACCATTGACTCATTAATGTCAAATTCTCTCCAGCTGCTCTATTCCCATGTTGTTGCAGTATATTAATGACTAACCTCGTATTGTGGATGGATTATCTCAGTTGTTCTCCTGACTGAAGTTTGGTCCGTTTACAGCATCCTGCCATGTGATTACATTTGTTCCTAACCATCAGGAACCTTCATGTTAACTTTTATCAAGTGGAAAAAAGTTAGTGTTCTTCCTCTAACTTCACTGTGTTTATGTTATAATAATAATAATAATAATAATAATAATGATAATAATGATACATTTTATTTGAGGGCGCCTTTCTAAAACCCAAGGTCACCTTACAAGAGAAAAAGACATCAAATAAAATAGTAGATTAAAATAGATTCTAATAAATTAAAATACAGAAACCAGCAAAATACAACCACAAACAAACAAACAAACAAAAAACAAAAAAAACATGATTTGACAGCAAGTAAAATCTGTATTAAAGCGAGTAAGCCAGTTCAAACAAGTAGGTTTTGAGTTGTGATTTAAATAAGGGAAGGGGATCCATATTTCTTAAGGCTGAAGGAAGTGAGTTCCAGAGCCGAGGAGCAGGGCGACTGAAAGCTCTGAGCCCCACAGTGGTGAGGCGAGCAGAAGGAACAACAAGATAAGTGGCAGATGAAGATCTGAGAGAGCGGGAAACTGTGGTGATATGAAGCAGATCACAGAGATGACGAGGGGCAAGGTTATGAATACACTTAAACGTGAGAGCTAAGATTTTTATCCTGGCTTCTATGGGCAACCAGTGAAGCTGTTGAAGAATTGGGGTGATCTGGTCTCTTAAGGGAGTGCGAGTTATGACCCAGGCAGCAGAATTCTGAAGAAGTTGAAGTTTATGGAGGGACTTATTGGGGAGACCAAAGAGGAGGGAGTTGCAATAATCAATCCGGGAAGTAATAAGACTGTGGACAAGGACGGCAGCAGCATAGGGAGTAAGGAAGGGACGGAGTCGGCTAATGTTATGTAAGTGGAAGTAAGCAGACCGGGTTATGTAATTCATGTGAGACTGGAATGAGAGAGTATTATCAAGTATGACACCCAAACTCTTAACCTGAGGGGAGGGAAGGGTGGGAGAACTTTCAATGTTAATGGAACAACTGTGGTTAAGGCCGTGCCAACAAGTAAAACTTCTGTTTTATTACTGTTAAGGTTGAGAAAATCGGAGGAGAACCAGGATCTGATCTCCATAAGACAGTTTGAGAGGGAGGTAGGTGGGAGGGATGAATTGGGTTTGGAGGAAATGTAGAGCTGGGTGTCATCAGAATAGCAATGAAAATTTATATTATATTTTCAGAATATATGACCAAGAGGGAGCATGTAGATAATGAATAAAAGAGGCCCTAATACTGAACCCTGGGGCACACCAGCAGAAACAGGATAGAGACTTGAAGAATGGGATTTAAATTGGATAAACGGAGTGCGGTCTGAGAGATAGGAGGTGAAGGGGGTGTGACTAATGCCAGTGGATGCTAATCTGCTCAGGAGGATATTATGACAAATTGTGTCAAACGCCGCACTAAGATCCAGAAGGATGAGGATGGTAAAAGACCAGAATCAGCTGCCATCAGAAGGTCATTGGTAATCCTTAACAAGGCAGTTTCTGTACTATGATGGGGCGGAAACCAGATTGAAATTGTTCGTAGAGATTATGGTTATTGAGGTATGAGTGAAGCTGAGAGGCAACAACTTTCTCAAGGATCTTTGAAATAAAGGGGAGCTTTGATATAGGACGGAGGTTATCAAACCTATTGGGATCTGCACCAGGCTTTTTGAGAATTGGAGTGACAGAAGCAGTTTTCAGGGATGGAGGAATAACTCCAGTGTTAAGGGAGTTATGCTAACTTAGCGATCACATAGCACAGGGGTCGGCAAGCTGCGACTCCGGAGCCACATGCGGCTCTTTAGTCCTTACAGTGCGGCTCCGCGTGGTTTGGGAAAATAAATTAGAAGTATTTAGCTGAAGTGTATTTTATTTATATTCTTTTTTAACTTGTAGTTCTGAATTGGAAGATTATTGTGATATTGAAATATAAAAATACAATTATATTCTATTATTTTTTTCATCGCTCAAAATAAGCGTCACATTCGTGGAAGCTGGTGTACCCGCCGAAACGCCGTGCATTTATCGAGACTTTCAGCCCCAGGTAGGCCAATTATGGATCTTCAGATCCACATTATGTCAGCAGCTGTTCTCCACCGTGAACATGAGAGGTTTTCGGACCAATTGTGTGTTCTCCATTCTTTAAGCACCGTTTAAGCACCGGCACCGTTTCAAAAGTACCCGTTTGGTACTGGTATCAGATAAAACCTAAACGATACCCATCCCCAGGTAAAATACATATTTAGACAGAATTTTGTAAATATCTATTTTTCATCTTTCAGCAGCATCGAGCTTTTTTTCCAATTATTTTTTTAAAAGTCAGGTCAAGGCTCCAAAAGCACAAAGGCGATATGAGGGTGGCTCACAGCAGTTTTTGTTTGCTGGATCATTTTAGTTCAGCTGGGTGTCTTTCCTTTGGTTATATTTCTTTAAGAGTTCAAATGTGTTCATTACATAAATAACATGTAATTTTCTCTGTAGCACTTCATGGATTTCATAAGCAACACACCTTAGTTGTTCACACAAAGCATAAAAGTAAAAAAACAAGACATACAGTGTTATCTTCATTCTAGATGTCAAAACGTATTCGCGGCTCCCAGTGTTTTCTTTTGCGTGGAAACTGG